TTAACGGACCTTTCGGGGGGTCTAAGCGAGCTATTATACTTCTGATGCTAGCATCCTTTACGATCGTGACCAGAGCACATACGCAACTCAACTTCCTTAACACGATTCGGTGCCGAATCACGCATACTTGACCAGTCAGCTTGCCACATTTACTAAATAGGGGTTGCGTCGACATTATCAAGGACTACCATGAAATATCGTTTGTACACATGAAATGGTCAGATCAAAATATCAGTACCAGTACCAATGGTACCAACTACACTAAGAGTACATTCAGTCAGTCACCCAAACTAAGAGTACATTCAACGGGACAGGTTTTATTTAAAAAAAAAATCAAGAAAAAAATGTTAAAATGTTAAAAAGCAAAAATATTGTTTTGGGCAAAACGGTTACTTTGATTTCGTTAAAACTTTGGCAGTGTACATTAGGCATAAATGATTTAAAACTGTTAAAAACTTTTTGTTTAATATATCAGTTTTAACGAGGGAAGTTTTCGAGTTACGAGTATTTAATTGGGAGCAGCGTTGCTTGACTGTAGACCCTGGCTGTAACTTTTGATCTAGTAGCCCAATATTGGAACTGTTTGAAATTATGGAATCTACAGGCCATATTCTATAAGAAAATGTTTTTTCCGGTCGATCTGAGACAATTTTTCTTTGGGGCCTCAAAAAAAGGCAGTGTATAACCTTCCTTTTTTTTACCAAAAATCAACTACACCAAAATTTCTCGGGAAAACACTTTTTCTTATTAATTTTGGTGCGTAGAATCCAAAACGATTCGTACTTTTTCGATTAGACTTCTCAAACAAAAGTTATGGACTAAAAACCAATTTCGAAAGAAAATTCAAAGGGCTGTAACTTTTGATGTAGTAGCCCAATCTTGGAACTGTTTGAAATTATAGAATCCACAGGCCATATTCTATAAGAAAATGTTTTTTTCCGGTCGATCTGAGACAATTTTGTTGGGGCCTCAAAAAAAGGCAGTGTATAACCTTCCTTTTTTTACCAAAAATCGACTACACCAAAATTTCTAGGGGAAAACACTTTTTCTTATTAATTTTGGTGCGTAGAATCCAAAACGATTCGTACTTTTTCGATTAGAATTCGCAATCACAAGTTATGTACTAAAAAAAGCAATTTCGAAAGAAAATTCAAAGGGCTGTAACTTTTGATCTAGTAGCCCAATCTTGGAACTGTTTGAAATCATAGAATCTACAGGCCATATTCTATGTGAAAATGTTTTTTTCCGGTCGATCTGAGACAATTTTTCTTTGGGGCCTCAAAAAGAGGCAGTGTATAACCTTCCTTTTTTACCAAAAATCGACTACACCAAAATTTCTCGGGAAAACACTTTTTCTTATTAATTTTGGTGCGTAGAATCCAAAACGATTCGTACTTTTTCGATTAGACCTCGCAATCAGAAGTTATGGACTAAAAACCAATTTCGAAAAAAAATTCAAAGGGCTGTAACTTTTGATCTAGTAGCCCAATCTTGGAACTGTTTGAAATTGTAGAATCTACAGGCCATATTCTATAAGAAAATGTATTTTTCCGGTCGATCTGAGACAATTTTTTTTTGGGCCTCAAAAAAAGGCAGTTTATAACCTTCCTTTTTTTACCAAAAATCGACTACACCAAAATTTCTCAGGAAAACACTTTTTCTTATTTAAGCAAGAGGAATTGGGGTGTTGCGGTCATTTTTTCCCTACACTTACTATTTTTGGACGCACTTCTGAAAGGGCGCTTTTTGGTTTGATCTAGGAACCTGTTCTTTCAAGAATTTGGCACATTATTTTATCATACACAATTACTCGTACGCCTAACTTTTTTCGACAGGATTAGTTCCCTTGCGCACCAGAAAAAAAGCGGTTTTCCACCCCTAAAACCTTTTTCTGTTTCCTTGCAACGAAGTGTAATAAAATTTAAGGCGTGGTCAATCTGAAGCACTGAAAAGTAAACTCAATTTGACAATATAAGCGATATAATATTCTATCGATTTTAATTTCTGTTTTCTAATTACAACTATAGAACCGGCAAAAGTTCACCAATCATCTAAAGTAGTGTAAACTCATTATCTTCCACTGTTACAGAGGCATTCATACTAAATATAGTTTATACCTTGCAATTATATTAGATTTAAACGTGCACAATCAACTGAACATTAATAAATCGCGTGGAATGGAGTTTGTACGTACAGCAAAATGTATATCGGATTAAATGGGTTTTTGTTAATACAACGACCTAAACATCGACCAATAAAATTAGATTACATAGGAATTAACAAACCCTTTAGTTTGAAAAAATGCACCGATGTTTATGTTCAGGAATTGTATTGGCATTTTCCTAATGAATATCGTTTTCTACACATTTTGGAAACTTTTGAATAAAAACTTTGCCTGCCAACAACCGACCCTCGCGCAATCGATTACGTCCCTAAAAGTTCAAAGTCAAAAACATGGTAAATAAAGAGGACAGAATTGTGGCAATAAAAGTTTGAAGTGCACTGCGGCCATCAAACAGAAAAGCATAGACAAAGGTACGAAGGTACATTATCCTTCGTCTATCTGTGGACCACCGTCAATTTTGCATAAGTAAATTGAAGACGCTCGCAGAACTTGTCAACTACTCCAACTATAAAAAGACGATAAAGTGAATCTAAAGCAGCTTTTGAAAGCAGACTAAATCCATATGACATAATCAATACCACAGAGCCACGAAAACTGAACATCGTCACACTCGCAAATGGATGTACTCGCTCATCGGCCCTTTTTGTATCAAACACTTTCCGCATGCAACTGTAATAATCGAAAGAACGCTTTTGTGTGAAACTAACATGCCATTGACAGGACGGGTTTTTTTTTTAGTAGGGAAATAGAAGTTTTTGGTAGTAAATAAAATTAGGGAGGTTAAATGGTACGTACCAATTTAGATACCGAAACAACACATAAAACGAATTTATCTATTATTTTATGTTGTTTTCAAGCTAAACTTGATCGTTACGAATCGAAATAGTAAAGTAGGGAACATGGGGAAAACAAGAGGGAATATATTTTAAAGTTTTTCGGGGTGATTTTACTAAGCAATGTAGAAATTGGTTAGATTTATGTGGTTCTTTTCCCTGGGCCGGACATGGAAAAGTGGTGGATGGTGATTTTTATTTTTCAAAAGAGTTCTGTATTACTCCGGTAAGTACATAGCCAGAGCGGTATGGTAAAAAAAGCTGCATTGCTTGTGAAAAGTAAACCACTTAGCACATACCTCACTAAGATTGAGAACTTTTAGCGCATTTCCATAAAATTTTAAAAATGCGCTATTGCGGAAACTTTGTGCGTCCATCTGTCCATCCGTACAGATATGCCACTACTAAATCTTTATCTGAAGAGCTATTTGTTCGACTTTTCCCGCTATTTGGTTCGCTAAGATGCCAAACAAGGATAGTTTTGCGCCTATTTCTAAAAAAGTTATAGTGAAAAATCAATGTAGGTACCATAATTCTTGGCCATCAAAGGTGGCCCTATAAATGCTGCGATTATCCGGTCTTTAGTGTAAAGTGTGTTAATTGAAAAATGTAATTTTTTGTGAACTGTGAAACGATACATTTTATAATTGTTTGTGTGTTTGTACCATTTTCCTTTTCTCTATATATATATATATATATAATTCTTAAAAAGGGAAAATCTAATGTGAGTCTCTAGGGATGAACCTTTTGGCAGGACAGTAGGACCCGCGACGGGTCTGGGGGGTATCGAATACCTCCAGTCATCCCTCGAGTGCATCAAAATCTTATGATAGTTATAGGAATAGGAACACCGAATCATTCACTTCCTGGCGGGTATTCCAAACCCCCTAGACCCTCCGGTTCTGCATTCCCCCCAACATATTTAGAGCCTTTAGCACTTACGCAATAATTGTACAAAGAGGCAATCGAATCTGAGTCCTTAGAGATGAACCTTTTATTGGAGAATGTAGCACCGGGGGGTCTGGGGGATATGGAATACCCCACATCCATTCCCTCTGGAGCAAAGAAATCATATGATAGTTGTAGGAAAGGAAATACCGGATCTTTAATTTATCGGGGGTATCATACCCCCCAGACAGCCCGGTTCTACATTACCCCCAACATATTTAGTGCCTTTAGCGCATAATAATTTTTAGAAAAAAACCATCGAATCCTTATGGTGAAGCTTTTGTGGGCAAAGGTAGCACCAGAGGGCCTGGTGGGTATTGAATACCCCCAGCCATTCCCTCTAGTGTACAAAAATCTTTATTAGTTATAGGAAAAGGAACACTGAATCTTTCACCACCCCAATTTAGTTGAGATGTATCAAAAGATTAACAAGATGTGGGACGGAGTCTCCGTTTCAACAGATTAGACGATTATTTATCATGGTAAAAGTGGCAAGGGTAGAGAAAGCGATGGAAATCAAGGGTGCCTTTGAAATTTTCAAAAACGTTTTTTTCATACCAGTGTTCTTTGGGGACGAAATACGAACAAAATTAAGGAAAGTTGTTCAAAATGAAAAATTCCTAGACCTACTTTGATTTCTTTCTTTATTATATATTATATTTTTTTATTTCTTTATTTGTTTACTGGGTTTATGTAAAGGAATCCAAAAACTGTTCAAAATAGCAAGTAATGATCGTGTAGCAAATTTGAAGCCGATAGTAACAATTTCGCTGCTTTGAAAGGAATTTTAAGTGTCTGTTCAGCAGTATACAGTTTCTTGAAATTGGTTCAACCAACAGTAAGTGAGAAAATTCATTTTGAGAATGTGAAATTATTATAATACCTCCATCACAAAAGATGGAGCGTGATGATATTTCAAATCTAGGTTACATTATTTATATAATGGCGTAAACACAAATGAAGTCATTGAATAGATCTACTCAATGCTTCGAAGCTGAAATGTTTTGCGGAATAATGGTTCTTCGTCGCGCCCAATCCAAATTAGCGGCAACCTTGTACACTACAAGCTGCTATAGTTTGCCTAGAGGCCTCAACGGTATAAAAGTTTAACGCATTGTGTTCATCTGCATTCAGATGATTACGCCTTAATTCGATGTAAATGAGCGCGTCCCACGCTAATGAATAAAATTAAAGCGCGAAAACGTCAGATTGAAAGCGAAATTCCTTCTCACGTACCAGTAGGTACCCATTCAGATGACATTGACGAACAAAATAATAACAGTAGCATCGGTGTTCACCTATAATCATTGTCCTCGACAGTGAGTAACGATCTTGAACGAACGTTGGTACCTAATCAGTTTAACGTTTCATATTGTTCCATTTGTTATTGGAGAAGGATCTGTTACTTACTTAAGGTGAGTTATTAATTATATTGTAAAAACGAGCCCTGCAGCGCACGCTACCGGGTTACGTTGCTTTTTTATGCAAGGGCGAAAAACATCCCTTGGATAAACTACATTAAACCATTGCATAACGCCATCTCGCCTAATTACGCAATTTAGTGAAAATGATCGCATTTTGGAAGTAGATCTTTTTATGAGAGCACTTTCAAGTAGGTACGTACAGAGTAATTGTCCGTATTTCCTTTTACGTCATAATTGAATTCACGTGCGATATTATACGTTCAGAGCACGTTTGCAATTAAAAGTTTCTTTAGGGGACCATAAAATTAGCATATGCTCTACTCCGAGAGTAAAGTTTGTGACATTTGTTTACGTTTTTTTCTTTAATTAAAGAATGAGAAAAATAGCAAACGCTCGAACTCGTCGGATAACCGGTACACTTTGGAAAATCACCGACGATCCCACCAAACTGGTCCATTTAATTAATTCGGCCCGACACTTTTTGTTTGTGGTAACGAATTCGTGGTAAATTGAACTCATCGCCGCAAACAGAACTACTAATAGTTGATGTGGCGAATATTTGTCTAACAAATTTGTAATAAATTTTGCGCCACGTCTTCATAAAACAACCAGGAATTTTCTACTTTTTTGATAAAGTGCTTCCATGTAATTTTTTCAGATATAAAATTCTAATAGTCCCAAGAAAGTTTATTGTTTTAATAATAAAGGTTATATTTGACAAAAATCCACTTTTTAAGGTTTGAAGTATATAATTAAAATTGACCATTAGCTTTAAAACACCCTGTAAAAGAGCGATCAATATTTAAAACATTAGCATCTCAGTATCGCTGATTTTGGAAGACTCTTTGAAATTTAAGTCAACCGAGTCATACGTGCAAGGCTCAAAAGAAAAGCAGTCAAACGTCAAACATTTTGAAAAATCTTGAACAAGTATAGGGAAACGTGGTGCCCAACGACGTAGAGTTTCATGTGGATTTAGAAAATGCAATTAAATGCAGGGTGTTCTATTTAAAGTAAGAAAATTGCTATTCATATCCGGTAAAACCGGTATGTGTCCATAAATATACCTACCTATTACATTCGTCATCGAGCAAGACAAACATATTCCAATTCCTCTCTTAACTTAATTTAAACAATGAAAAGAGAATTCCCTTAATTCTTTCATACCTATATAAAAGGCGTCACCGATATTATAGCTCACAAATTTCCTAGATCTCTCTTTCAACCCATTTTTTAACCTTACTTCAAGCTACATCAATCACTAAGAACTCCCAAAGACAAAATTGAAAATGAAGAACATGGCGTCTATACGAAATTTCTTGTACTCAATGCTCTAAATCATACATCGGACAAACTAACAGAAAATTATACATACGAGCAAAAGAACACCATTTAGCAATTAAACAACATAATAAATCCTATTCTTTATGTGAACACTATTTAGACACAGGACATTTTATTGACACCAACAAAATTAAATTAATTGCTCCAATACAACATTTAAAAGCTCGACTGATTAGAGAAGCTATTGAAATTCAAAAACGATCAAATTGCCTTAATAAACAAGTGGATATTTTACGACTTCCTCGCATTTGGAACAATATAACCAAGACCAAATCTAAACCCATTTTTAACATTCAAGATTCAAGTTCTCGAGATGAAGATTTAACCTTTTCGACATCTACACTAGAACCAGTTTATACCCTTCAAAATTCAAATTCTGCAGATGAAGATTTAACGAGCTCAACTCCTAAATTAGATCCCATTTGGACCCTTCAAAATTCAAATTCTCCAGATGAAGATTCTCCCAGTTTGACATCTAAATTAACCTACTAAGGTAATGGGTCATTACACGAAATCGTTCTAAATTTAATTAATTTGTCATAAGATAGCGTACTTCATTTGAGGCGTTGAAAGGCAAAGTGGTACAAGTCCCAAAATTGCAGTTTTAGGGACTTTAGCAGTTTTGAGATAACACCGACCTCTATATGTTATTGGGGAAAAGTACCATGTGACAAAATTTAAAAATTCTCACTTTTAAATTAGACCTGTAGATTGCGCTAGTGAGATCTGCATAATAACGTTTTATTCAAATCGTTCAAAGGCAAAGTGGTACATATAAATGTGACTTATACCACTTTGCCATTAAATGGAATTGCAGATATATTATTAGTGCATTTTTCTTGTAATGGTGAAATGTGTTTTGTCGACATTAAAAATGAGTTGTAGTGATACTGAAAGTGAGCCACTTCCTTCTAGTGAAAGTGAGTACGAACCAGAGGATTACTCATCATCAGAGCCATCAGATTCAGGTAAGTAGGCGTGGTTACAAATTCAATGGTTGCACTTCAAGAAATCTGAGCCGTACAAAATTTTTTATAAAGAAACGCTCAATGAAGACTATCCTTTCAATGCTATTAGTTTACTGCCAAACCGAAGAGGTGCTCCTAAAATGTTCAAGGCCATCGAGCTTTCGTCTCTGTATCAGGGCCCACTTGAAATTAATGATAAAAAGAAGAAAAATATGGAAGAACTTTTTCAATTTATTCCTCCGATTCATCAAAATTACCTACTTCAAGGATGTAATTGGAAATTGTGACGTTGAAGATCCTTGAAGAATTGGAAGAAGAAGATGATGACAGTTAGTTTCCCCATTGTTTTGGAATATACTCGTGTTTTTATTTTTCATATAAATTATGTTTTATTTCCTCTTTTGGTAATAAATTTTTAAAAACGTTTTCAATTTTATTGTGTCTCATTGCAACGTTTTTTAAAGGTATAATAACTTTTTGTTCTTATTATTAGAGAGCAAAAAATCTATTATTGTGGTATACCCAAACATATATTAAAAAGTATTGAAAGTCATAGTGGTCTAAGTCACAAAAAAGGTCAAAAAGGTAACAAAATTTTAAAAATCAGGATTCAGGATTTTTTAATTGACGTGCAACTTTAGGTTAATTTATCTAAAAACAAAGTTTTTGGACTTAGACCATGCTGGCTCTCAAAGCCTCATTTATACATCATTGCCAATCTAAACTTGAAAAAGGGGAAAGAGTGCTCTCCGAAACGTAGTTAGTTGCCTAAATAAATAAACTAAACACACACGAGTGATACCAAACAATGTCTAATAATAATAATAAACCTCGTGGAAATCTAAATGAAACTAAAAATATAATACATTATACATACTTAATACGACAGCTGATTTTAAATTCGTTATGTTTTATTAATGCGGGGGTAACATGTTCTCTATAAGGAATATTACAAATATATCTGATACACAAGTTCTGAATTATGTTCATGATTTGCTTATATTATAATCGCTGGTACACGAGAGAAAAGATTCGTACAGTTTCATGTTAAACTAGATTGCACTATTTAATGCTCCTTTAAGGGAGATGCAGTTCAGTGGTTTAACAAATTTTGGTGTGCAGTCCTACAGTTAGTTCCGTCGTTCGTGCGAAAACAGAACAATGTTCACAAAAAAATGTCGCCATTCACGGGAACGCCAGAAAAAAATTACTTCAATCTAGTGGCATAAAATCTCATGAAAAGGAAGAAGTAAATTATTTATAATTTTGTTAACAACAATAGTCTGTCTGTTTATAATTTCAACAACTGTACTGCTCCATTTTGGAGCATTTCGAATATATATGAGATATAATAATGAAATCGTATGTGAAACTTACGAAAACACCCATGATTTTGATTCAAAAAGAGCGCTTTTTTCTCCATACATTAATTTTTTTCCCACTATCGATCATCCACCCCTGATTGGGAGAACATGTCAATTTTCGTACATACATAATATATATAATCGAAAATTCCCTTATACCTTTCGGTGTTGGGATTACAGGTTGTTAACATTAACATATTGTCTACTTACTGTTAGGTTAACAATAGGAAACAAAAATAACATATGCTCTAATTCACAAAACTCTTCCATTCACTTCTGTCTTTGGCCACTTCCTTCGCATTTTTGACTGTTTGTCCTCTTCTTATTATTATTTTATTCACCTCATTGCTCCATGTCTCCCTTGGTCTTCCTGGTCCTCTCCTTGTTTTTATGTTTGTTTCCCATACTGTCTTCGTTTGCATCTTTTCGTTCATTCGTTGTATATGTCCCCACCAATTCAGTTGTTTCTTCTCTATATGTTCTTGTATTGATTCTATGTCTAGCTCCTCTCTTATACTGGTGTTTCTTAGTCGATCTATTCGGGTTACTCCTTTCACTGCTCTTAAGAACTTCATCTCAACTGCTTGTAATTTGCTTTTCATGTTCGTTGTGAGCACCCACGATTCGCTGCCATATGTTAGAGTCGGTCTGTATATAGTTTTGTACACGGTCATTTTTGTTTTGGTTCTTATTTCTTTTTTCTTAATAAATCGTTGGTTCATCGCGTAGTAAAGTTTCATGGTTTTATTTATTCTGTCATCTACATCCATTTTTTGGTTACCATTCCTCTCAATGTTCACTCCAAGGTATTTTATGTTTGGCACTTGTTCTATTACTTTGTTGTCTACTGTTATATTCAGCACCTCTTCCTCTCCCTGTGATATAATCATTACTTTTGTTTTGTTTATGTTCATCTTCATGCCGTGTGTCTTCAATGTTTCATTCCAACTGTTTATGTTACCTTGTAGTCCGTTTTTTGTATTGGCTGCTATCACTAGGTCGTCGGCGAAGAGGCATTGAGTTATTCCTATCGGTTCTAATTTCTTGTAACCGATGTGTAGTTTTTGCAGTTTTGGTTTGCATGTTGTGAGGATTTCGTCCATAAATATATTGAACAGTGTCGGACTCAACACTCCTCCTTGTCTCAGTCCTTGCTGTGTTTCGAACCCTACGGAGATCCTATTTCTGTGTATAACGTAGTTTATGTTGTTGTTGTAGATACTCCGTATTGCACGTACCAGTTTGGTGTCTACTTTCCTTCTTTCTAGGCTCTTCCATACTGTTTCTCTTTGTACTTTATCGAATGCTTTCTCCAGATCTACGAATGCTAGGTAAGTTTTTGTTCTGCTCATTCTGGTCTTTTCTATTATTTGTTTTATTGTGAAAACATGGTCTTGCACTCCTCTTCCTTTTCTAAAAGCGCTCTGTGATTCATCTAGGGTTGGTTCCGTATATTCGCTAAGTCTTTTTTGTAGGATTCGTTCGTAGGTTTTGAGTGCTGCACTTAGTAGAGTTATTCCTCTATAGTTATTGCAATCACGAGCATTCCCTTTTTTAAATATTGGCACAATTAATCCAATCTTCCAATCTTCGGGTATTTGTTCTTCGTCCCATATTTTATTACATAATTTCCAAAACATTTCCGTTCCTCTATCGTCCAAATTTTTTAACATTTCTGTGGTGATTTTGTCATACCCTGGCGCTTTCCCGTTCTTTAGGGATTTGATGGCTTCATTTATTTCTTCTTTTGTGATTGGCTTTTCTGTTTCATCCTCTGTTGCATTCTTCGTCTGTTCAGAGTGTTTATTGTTTTGTTCGTTGCTTCTGTGGTCTAGTAAATCCCGGAAATATTCCTTCCATCTATCCATGATTTCATCATCCTCTGTTAGTATATTTCCGTCTTTGTCCATTATTGATGATATTTGTTTTTGCTTTCCAGTTCTCATGTTTTTTAGTACTTTATAGAAAAGTTTTTGGTTTTCTTTAGAGTTTGTCTCCATTTTTTCGCCAAATTTTATCCAACTTTGTTCTTTTGCTTGTTTCACCATGTTTTTGACTTTCGCTCTTTGGTTTTTGTATTCTTCATATTTTGCTTCGGTCCTGTTTTGTAGGTATTTTTTCCATAGGTTTTTCTTTGCTTTTACTTCGTCTTTAATTTCTTTGTTCCACCACTCTGTTTTTTTGTCGTTTCTTGTACCCTTATGCTCCCCACATATTTCCCTTGCTGTCTCAAGTATCCTATTTTTAAATTTCTTCCAACTTTCTTCTATTCCTATATTTTCTACCTCTATCTCATTGTATGTTTTTTTGGCTAACATGTTTTTGAACAAGGTTGCTGTTTCTGTGTCCCTTAGTTTGTAGCTTTTGATGTTAGGGCTTGCTGGTTTATTTTCTTTTGTTCTTACTTTCGTGTCGTTGCCGTTTTCTCTCTTTAATGTAGCTACTACCAGGAAGTGGTCGGTGTATAGTTCTGCTCCTCGCATGACCCGCACATCCTTCATTGTTCTTCTATTTTGCCTCTCTACCAAAATATAGTCAATGATTGATTTTTCGTTTTTTGGACCCACTCTCGTGTATGTGTGTATGTTTCTGTGTTGGAAGAAGGTGTTTGTTATTACCAGGTTATTTAGTTGGCAGTAGTTAATTAACCTTATTCCGTTATTGTTTTTTGTGCATTCTCCGTAATTCCCCAGTATTCCTGTATGTGTATCCTTGTTACCCACTCTGCCGTTAAAGTCTCCCGCCACTATGATATTCCCCTTACTTTTCTCGGTTACTTGGTTAAGTTTTTCCCAGAAGTTTTCTTTTACCTCTACTTTTTCGTTTTCGTCAGGTCCATATACAGTTATGATCGTTGTGGTTTGATCATCCATTGTTAGTTCCACTGTGAGTATCCTTTCAGAGTGTGGTTCCCATTTCCTTATGTTTTTCGCTAACTCATGATGTATTATGCATGCGACCCCTGCGGCCGCTCTCCGTTCTTGTGGGACTCCGCTGCTTAGCATTACATGACCTTGGTCCAGCTTGATTTCGTCTCGTCCTTTCCGTTTAGTTTCCGTTATAGCTATGACATCTAGCTTCAGTTTTCTAAGTTCGTCACTTATTTCTTCTTCTTTCCCATTGAGTCCTCTTACATTCCAGGTGGCTATCCTCCATTTATGTTTTTCCTTTTTTGCTAGATCTTTTCTTTGTTTATTCGATTGCTTCGTGTTGGTTAGCTTATCACTTCTCATTATCCTATTCGTCGCGAGGTCGTTACCGTTTGTGGGATAGTCTGTGCTAGTGTTTAGTTTTTTGATGTCGTTGTGTTGTTGGTTTTCTGGAGGGCTTTGGCCGTTTCGTTCCACTTCCATTCGCTACCATTTATAATAAGCTTTTTGTATCCAATTTTTGTGGAGTTGCCTCTTCGTCTTTCCTCCATTGAGATTTGCTTTATCTCCTTCTGTATTTCTAATTCTTTTTTTGTCAGTTCGGACTCTATGTATACTTTATCCTTGTAGGCTTTCAATAATTTCTTGTGCTTTAGTATCTCTAGTTTGTCACACATATTTTCCATTTGGATTACACACACCTTGTCGGTTATTCTGCTGGCATTCCTAATTTTCACATCCATTTTCAGTTCTTGTGCTATAAATCTTTCCATTTGTCTCTTTATTTCCTTGTCGTCATTTGTTGGAATTTGAATTCCTGATATTATCAGGTTTTCCTTTTTATTCCGTCTCTCTAGGGTTTCGACTTTATTGCTCAGTTGTTCTATTTCTTTTTTAAGCGTGATATTCTCCTTTCGTATTGCACTTAATTGTTCGTTGGTCTCCTTTTGCTCTTGCCTTATTTGTTTTAATTCAGTCATCATATTTTCATTCTTACTCATCAGCTCTTTCATCATTTCTATCATTTTCTCTTCCGTTCCTTCCTTTCGTTTCATAGTTGTTTTTCGGAGCAGTTTCGTTCTTTCGGAACTATCATTATCCTCTCTTTTCCTTTTAACGTCTTCATCTGTTTCCGCCCCGCTCATGCTTAGTAATTCTCCTTAATGCGATACTGTATTATCTTGCAAGTGTACTCGTCGTATATATTTAATTCGCTACCAGATTGTATGTTATGCACTATTATGTTGGCAGCTGTATTGTGTGTTACCTATACGGATGGAGCGCAAAGAGTGAATTCCAAGTCGACCTCTCGGAGAATAACACTCTTATCTCGTTCCGTGATAAGGCTTTATCCTTTGCGACTATTTATTTATTTATGACTCCAATTAGCTTAATCTATCTATTCTATCGCTTCAAAGTGATTATCTATTAATAACAAGAAACTCCTACCTCTATGTTTTCTTGTGAAGTATGGACACCACGTCAGTAGCTCGTAATGGCCCAGGAATTGAACGTTATCACGGAGCACCTTCAATATACGTGTGTACACTTTCACATTCACACAAAATAAGAAAAAGTATTTTCCCGAGAAATTTTGGTGCAGTCGATTTTTGGAAAAAAGGAAGGTTATACACTGCCTTTTTTTGGTCCCGAAGAAAAAATTGTCTCAGATCGACCCGGAAAAAAAATTTTCTTATAGAACGTGGCCTGTAGAATCCATAATTTCAAACAGTTCCAAGATTGGGCTGCTAGTTCAAAAGTTACAGCCCTTTGAATTTTCTTTCGAAATTGGTTTCTAGTTTCTTTTTTTTGAAGGACATTCCCTTTTGGGGTAGTAACAACCTAAATGGGAAAACAAAAAATAACTAGGACCGGGCTGAAGTTACATTCGTTTTTTTAAATCAACGGCCATCGAAAGTGATGGCACCGGGACCAATTCTCACCCCCTTTTTGGGAAATAGCCCTAAACCCCGACGAATTCGTCTCCGAAGTTGACGAATTGTGCAAGTGTGTGAGTGAGTGAGTTTTGCACGTGGAGGCCCAAGGGCGCACCTAAAACCCTCCACCTGTAGTTTTTCGAAAAGTGCCCCACAGTTCGAGAAATTCCCTTTTGTTTGGTCAATGGCGCGGTATACACTTTTCGAAAATTGACAGTTAGGGGGATTTAGGTGGGCCCTTGGGCCTCCACGGCGCCCTTATCCTCCGCGTGCAAAACTCACTCACTCACACACTTGCGCAATTTGTTAACTTCGGGAACCAATTCGTCGGGGTTTAGGGCAATTTGCCAAAAAGGGAGTGAGAATTGGTCCCGGTGCCATCACTTTCGAAGGCCGTTGATTTAAAAAAAAAACTTCAGCTCGGTCCTAGTTATTTTTTGTTTTCCCGTTTAGGTTGGTACTACCCCAAAAGCGAATGTCCTTAAAAAAAGGCGAATGTAACTTCAGGCTGGTTAACTGTAATGTAAAATTGCGATACATATCCCCATCTCACTCACCGAAGCTTCCCGCACCCCACAGTCCACAGTGGGAGCGGTGTGACTAATTAATCGAGTTGCGCCTCTTTATATTTCTCACTCGACGCTCTAATTTAAATTTAGTATTCTCGCTCTAATCTAGGCATTTCCGTTGCACAAAATTTTAAATTAGCAGCACAAATTATCACAAAATTATGAGATACTTGGAACTTAATTCCTTTCAAATCGACACTCCAACCCGACGCCTAGGTTAACTTACCGTTGTAAACGTGACGAGGAGTTTGCGGCCTGTCGGGGAACGCGAGATCTGCTTTGAAAAACCTGCATTAACACAGTCCCAAACAAAGTGCGCCACTACCTGAGTCGGTGGTTTGGAACGTGAACGCCTCGGAGATCGGACTCCATCCGTATTTATTCCGCGACTGTACCTTGGCCTCGTAGATCTGCGCCGGCTCCAAAGCCCGAATGACGTAGCTCATCGTCTGCAATCCGGGCGCCTGTATCGGCATCGCCGGCAAAATCACGTCCCTCCAATCGGATCGCCGGTCGATGTACTGCCGTCCGTAGCCCATGTTGTAGTAGCCCGTTGAAGCGAAGGTTCTGTTCTCCTGAACGAGCACAATGCGATTAAAGTCACACTGAGGAAGTACCTACTCTTTTAGAAGACTGATGCTGCAAAGGCCTCGGGTGGCCATCCTCTCCGTTTCCGCTCACCTCCGGCAGTCTGCGATACAGCAGCTTGAACTCCTCAATGGGACTCAGAGATTCGACGGCCCAGGTTATGTTGTAGCTATCTCGCCATTGTCCTCTGGATGCGCTGCTGAATTTCGCCGGGTTCGGTTTACCTGTAGACAAGCGAGGTTTAGTATGTTCGTAGCTGTCGAAGGGGGCGATGCCGGACCTGTCAGTTGGACGCTCTTCCTTGTTTTGCCCAGTTGGTTGTCGGCGACGCAGGTGTAGTTGCCAAAATCGGACCGATGGACTTTGCGGATGACCAGCGTGTGACGTGAGCCACGAGATTCCATAATTCTTCTTTCGGTCGTGTCCAGTTGCATCGTATCTCGGTACCATAGCACCTGGAGGAAAAACGAAAGTGTTACTTGATACCTCTTGTTTTTTTTCGAATATGTAAATGTAAGGTCGTTGCCCTTATTCAGAAGAGATTATCGCAAAAATTGCATTTCATAAACTGCCTTAGAAAAGCAAGGGAACGTTCAAAGAATTACGTAATACTATCCAAAAATTATTACAGTACGAACGGACCTTTCCGGTGCATAAGTTTTGAGTGGCGTTTCGATTAATAAAAAAGAAAGGTCGCACCAATTAATTCTATTACAGAATTAAGGTAACGTAAATTTTTTGATTTGTATAAAAATAACGATCGGTTCTCCTGAGGAACACTTAGTCAGAAAATTTTAAAGGAACAGGAACAGCTGTTTGCTGGACGTTCTCGGAAATCTCGGGTAAACCCAATCAGGCCACACTGTAACGCCAGGAATCAGATAAGTTCAGTCAATGGCGGCGGTCACTTCGAAAAAACTAAAACAAAATTACCCTAGCGGGAATGAAAGCAGAAAAGAGAGAAACAAAACACAAATTGATTAGCAGTGTCTACGGGAAGGCGAATGCAGGAGAGCGAAACAACAATACCCCCCCACCCCATAATTAATAGAACAAGAAGTAGTAAAAAGCTTATCTTGCAATAAAACCGTACGAAAGTGCAAAAGACAAAAGATCTCCGCTAAATAACGGCTTAACCATTTACAAAATGTCGCTATTTCATGGGGGGATCGGCGGTTTTCCCAGCCGACGCAGCGTATTCCGTTATCCACATTGCAAAATTAAAACTTCCTTAATTAATTGCGCGGCCTGCGGACGCCCTAACAATCTGTAATTGGTCTTAAAATTCAAATTAATTTAAAGCGTGCCTTTGGAGACCACTCCCGACTTAATCGGATGCTGTTCCTCCATCTCATTAAATTATCTACCGTTAATTACATTTCCCTAATTTTCTGGATAAAATTTCTAAATTCATAATTATAATTAACCCCCATTATCTCTTGGAATTACTCAGGTCAGGTATGGTCTTGCAGATTTAATGCTTGTTTCAAATTAACGTAGTGTGATAATCCACCCTTATGGTTAGGTTACACACCTTTACATCTGAAACAAAAATATAATATGCTCTGTATATAACCAATCGACCGTTATGTTATGGGTTGTGTTATCTCAATTGATCGTACAGGTATTTTGATGTGTTTCTGTATTGAATTAATTTTGTTTTTATGAACGTGTTTAATTGCATTTGATTTGATTATATGATTTGTATCATACAATTTGAGATGTTTTATTTATGTGTATTTTCTCTTGCATTTTATTGCTGTAGGTGATTTATTTCATGTATATGTGTGGTCTATGTCGGGGTTTTTGTCCCGTAGAAGGTTTCTCTGGAATGGTCTTGTGTGCGTAATATATTTGTTTGTTCTTGTCATTTCTTACGCACAAAAGTTCCGTCTTTTATTTAATTCCCTTCCCGATTATGTCTCACGTCCCAACACATACAAGAACCGATTACACAACGTAGGAGTCCATTCAGGCCACCCATATCGAGCCGACTGCCATCCAAATTCAAAAGTGCCGCGAAACGTTCATCGTTTCGACTTGAAAGGTAGGTGGCTCTGCGTGTAGTTTTTTTCCCAGAGTTGTCAACGGTAAGTATAGGGTAAGTCAACGTTTACAGTGTCGGCTTGACAGACCCCTGTACCATCGTGTTCTAAATGACAAGAGCTTTTGAACTCAATTAATGAATTTCAGTTTTTACACAGACACACTCAAATATGGTTGAATCTGGCCTTGCGGAAATTGAAGTTTCACTACCTGCATTAAAGTAGCGTGATTGACGCATCTTAAACGAAAAAGCAAAGGATATAGTTGAATATTGCAATGAACGTTTGTTTCCATTTTGTAGAATGAGTACATCAGTGCATTACATAACCGCTGTATGACATGTGCATTTTAAATTCAATAGAAAAGTCCCACTCTACTGCTTTTATATTGCGCCCTTATTTTACTTCCTGAATACTATAATCAGATTTTATCATCTGATTGGATATCGTATTCAAGCCACGTAAAAGGAGACGCAACTGCATTTTTGCTTTGCCAATAGCCGCAACATTGAAATCATGCAAAGTTTACCAATTACTTCCTTGTAGAACCGCAATTTAGTATCCTTTATACTCTTAAAATAATGCTACGATCTCACAGATCTCAGAAGTTGCGTTCCGTTTTGCAAAAAGCCGACCGACGTGATGATGCCGGATTTGTATTGGTAAAAAGGGCACGCTTTCCACAAAAGTTGCGGTCAGAAAAAGGGAGTCGTTTTCGTATCCGAGAATTAGTAAGGTACATAAGTGAAAATCTGGAGGGAAAGCGGGATTCTTGCTGAAATTTTCGAAGTGAATCTATGCCGGTCGAGCGTTAGATTTTTTTCGATCCCGTGTTGATTTCTTAGTCGAACTTTTGGTAAAACGAACTTCTTTGCCAAACTACCAAAGCCGCCATTTTAACGAGTTTAACTAACGTGGGGGCCTTCACATTTCTGGTATAACTTTAAAAGGTGAATATTGCGAAGCGTTACCGTATTAATACGAAAGCGAACCTTTTTCGTGTTAGTGCATTATGAGACTAAGGTATTCGCGCATATTGTTACCACGAAAATTTTGGAGTACAAGGTGCAAAACTTTCCGTTGCGCCCGATTTGTAGTGGTAAGTTACGTAAAGAACCAGTTGTCCACCTAATTTGTTTATACGAGGTGCTCACAACATTATGAACAAAACGGCTACCGGTAAAAAGGTTAAAGACAATTAATTCAAGATTCTGTTCAAACCTTGTTACAACAATGTTGTACCCTCTGGCGGATTGAATGGACAAAAACAATTAATACGTTTCAATTCAGCGCAAAATGTATATAACATTTGAGTGCCTGAACGATAATAAAAGGTAACGTGTAATTTGTGTAAATAACTGACTATTCGTTCATATAGATGAAAAATTGTATGGTGAAGACTACTGGTACGGCTTTCCACGATGTGGCGCTAAATGAGGCTTCTCTTTCACCGAGATGTGCACTACGTTGGAACGTGAAATTGGTCGTCGGTCGTCCGTGTACTAAATTGTATCTCTTGCTGTTTTCTTCCACCGGAAATCCATTTCCTTTTAGAATATTACAATAGTGCGTTGCAAAAATTACGTTATTGTTGGCATTTATCGTAATAGTTTCCAATTCGCGTCTAATTTTCGTGCGGTAGACGACGAGACCTTTTTTTTAGTTCGATGCGAGTTTCTCTCGCGGCTCGACGCAAATTGTCTCACGGCTTAATCTGAATTTTCTCGCTGTTCGACTCAATTCTCTTTCTCGCGGCTGCATTTCCGACATCTTAATTCCCACTACTTTATTTTTTTCATTCGCACCCAGTTCGGGACGCACAGTCGTACAACTGTACGTGATGAAGGCAATCCAGAGAGTGGAAGCTGGAGTAATGGGTAATCGACCGAATTTACAAACCATGGCACATGTTGTGCCGATACGATGTAGTAGGGCCTTTGGCCGGAAGTAGTCGAGAGTATATAAATCGAGCAACTTTAGTAAATTTGCCCTTTTTTCCGCTACAACAAGCGACAGCCACCATCGTAACGGGTAAAATAGAATTTCAGGAAATCTTTGTGGCTTTCGGAGTCCCAGAATATTTGATAAGGGACAATGGAGTGCAACGATTTCAGAAACATGTGAGGCCAATACAAGACGAAAATCTTGCTTAACGCAAAAGAATCCGACCGAGTGCGTAAATTGCGTATTAAAAGCTATGATATCGGCATATGTAAAAGACAACCATAAAAACTGGAACAGTTTTACCAAAGCTGGGTGTGGCATACACTCATACAGCCTCACACCAAGTGTTTGGAATGAACCAAATGGCGACAAAACTTTCAATCGGTCGCCGTTTGGTTCTTATCAAATTTGTTAAGGCCGAACTTTTAGGGCCTGATGATGGCTTCTTAGCCGAAACATGTCGCCTAAGCCTTATTTTTCAACATCAAATGCTTTGAATTAATTAAATTTTATGAAGAAGGTTTTAAGTTCTTGGATTATGGATTATCATTGCACTCCATTTCGAGTTATAGAAAGAGAAAATGGATACCCAACGAGATCTGCACCCACTTTGTGAGGACGCCCAGTCCACGTGGAAGCTAAACGTCGCTACGATTTACGTAAACGCCCCCAACAATTCGAAGAAGGCGCATCAGTATGGAAACAAAATTATGTTCCATCTGATAGGTTAAAAAATTTCACGGCTAAATTTGCACCAAAGTACATAGGACCTTTTATTATAAATAACTGTCTAATGATACTGGGCAATCAAAAGGCATACTAAAAATTTGAAGCCCATGATAGCATGAATTTTGGGTAGGGTTGGAAGCGGCTATATTAGGAAGAGTATTCAATTTTTTTTCGCGTTTTATTTTTTTCGGGTGGGTTTCTTCGTAGTAGGACCTATCATCTAGGTGCTATAGGTATGGGATCGTACCCTTGTAAAACCGTACTGTAGTTCTAGGTAATTTTGCCCTGTCCTACGACTTCCCGGCGCGTCAAGCTTTAACGCGCATTCATTCAGGGACCACGTGCGCACATACAAATTCGAAAAAAACATCACGGAACGTTACGTTACACCTCAAACCTGAGCTTAAGGTTCAATACAAGAAACCCGAGACTTTAAACTTCAATCTTAAGCCCTGAAACCTGCCCACATGAGCCTTCTATTAATGCTATCATATTTCTAATAGGCCATTAAAAATGAATTATTCCGTTTGAATTCATCGACAAAAAGTGGCGCGCGATTAGTGTATCCGCAGGCATTAAAACGTACGTAGAATTTTAAGGGGGGGATTTATAATGAGGGACTGAAATAAGTACACAAATTTCGGAGCGTGCTAATTAAGGTTGTACGAACTTATATCACAGTAAATTAAGCAAAAAGCTCGAAAACACAGTGCTCGAAGCAGATAAAATATCTAGTT